GCACATCTAAAAAGGTGGACCACAGTTTTATACAGTTTTATATTTAAATCGTATTATATCAATGATCACTAAAAAAATCAGTTCTAATTAAAATTTCTAAGAGACCACATATAGTTTTGATTTACATAATTTGCCACACACCCCAATGCTCCATGGGCATGCCTCTGGTTTTTTTGATTTAGAGGCATGCCCTATAGGCATGCCCCAATAAGTTTTTACGTGACAACCTTTTACATATATAACTTTTTTGAAAAAGGGCATGCCTAGGGGCATGCCCAGGAGGCATGCCCCGTGCCCCATGCCCCCAACCCTAATTGTGACGCACCCTATAAGATCCGGTATAACGTGAAATCAAAACAAACCAGCAACGCATTAATTTAGGGTAAGGGTTAGCACTAATATAAGGTTAGATTAGATTGTAGGTAAATGTTAGTTATATCCAAAATTTTGCAAGGAATTTTTTTTGTTAGAACGCAAAAGGTAGTTTCATAAGCAAGATTATGAGTTACAGACGATTTTTTCAAAACATCGCTATTTTTTCGATTTCACGTTACACCTGATCTTACGATCTGATTGGTCTATCAGGTGGGTGCGTTACAACGCACATGCGCTAAGTTATAAAACCCTTAAAAAAATATATATATTTAAAGTTAATCTATTAATTAAAGGAAAAACTTTTTGGTTTAAAAAGAAGTCTAACAATTTAAAATTTACTAATAAAATATAAAAGTGGATATAAATTATCAGATGGTTAGTCATCTTTTTCACCTTTTTCATCTTCTTCATTTATGAACTCAAACACAAATAAATACCAATATGATTGATGACAAAGATTTTCAACTTTATGTTAATACACGTATTCAACATAGATGGAATCGAATATATAATCTAATTTTGCTTATTTGTTGGTCACTTCATCCGAGATATGTTCTTACAAAAACTATTCGTCCAGAACTTACAACTATTATAAAAAAAGAATCAAGTATTTTATTTGAAAGCTTATTTTCTGATAAAGATATTAGAAAATTTCGCATGCAATTAATTGATTGGAATAACAAAGCATATCCTTTTGATTTCGAAGGTAATTGGGATGAATATTTGGTTAGTAATCCAATATATTTTTGGAATAATTTACAAAATGAAGTGCCAGAATTATCAATTTTTGCTGCTCGCATAATGTCAATACCTCCTACTTCAGCTGAATGTGAACGTTTTTGGTCAGTTATATCAAATATCCATTCTTTGCGACGTAACAGATTAACCAATAGACGTGCAAGCAAATTAACTTGTATTTGTTGGCACATGATTCAAGATGAAAATATTAAAAATCATGATGCTAAAAAGTCTCAAGCTATTCAACAATTTAACAAT